AGGAGGACTACTTTTTTCACCCCAAGCAGGTGATGACAATGGGGCCACGGTCTCAGCTGCAAGGGATCGAGGCTGTAAAATAATTACAGAGGCCAAAGTGCAAAGTGACAGCCCAGCTGAGCTCCACAGGCCACTGAAGGGGATTCACAGAATGGTTTGGGCTGGAAGGTACCTTAAAGTCCGTCTCATTCCAACTCCTCTGCCAAAGGCAGGGACTCCTTCCACCAGCCCAGGTTGCTCCAAGCCCCGCCCAACCTGGCTGTGAACACTTGCAAGGACCGGGCAGCCACAGCTTCTCTTGGTAACCTGTGCCAGAGCCTCAGGACCCCCACAGGGAAAAATTCCTTCCTAACATACAATCTGACCCTGCCCTCTGTCAGTGTGAAACCATTGCCTCTTGTCCTGTCACTCCATCCTTTTGTCCAAAATCCCCCTGCAGCTCTCTTGGAACCTCTTTAGGCATTGGAAGGGGCTCTAAGGTCTCCTCAGAGCCTTCTCTTCTCCAGGCTGAACAATCTCAACTCTCGCAGTCTGTCTCAACAGAATTCATCTCCAAGAGTGCAAAGCGTGGCTTTGGTTATGCTCCGTCACCTCCACAGTCAGCTCTGCTGTGTGGTGGTGCGGTGACCAGCACATGAAACCAATCTCAAACAGGATTAGAAGTGCTGGGACATCCCCGAAAAAAAACATGTTCAATGCTCAGAAGGGCAGAGCTCTGGCAAATGACACTCCCAGGTAAGGTGGTGTTGGCAGGGACAACTTGTGCAGGATACCTGGGTGATGGCACAAGGTCAAGAAGTGTTTCCCAAGAGCTAAGAATCAAAGTGTAGCTCTCAACCTGAAACCATTGAGGAGCCTGGAGCCAGAGCACAGGACGAAATCCCAGCTGCACTCTGTCATATGACACAGGCTGAGTCATTTCCTACCATTCAGAAAAAACTAAAAAGATAGAAAATGAGTGTGCTATATTGAAATCTTCAAAGGGTTTTCCCCAAAGAGAACCACAAGCTTCCAAGTCCACTGCAGAGCAACGCAACACATGTCCTGGCACACAAAGTCCTGTGTGGCCAGGGCCAGCTGAGAGCCCGGGAAGCACCACGCAGTCACAGGAAGCAGTCCATCCTCCTTCAGCCTAGCCCAGTTTGTTGGGATTCAGATGTGACTGGTGACAAAGATGCCGTTTGCTTTCACAGCCCCCTCACACTGTTCCCACCACAGGCCCTACAAACAGGAAACCTTTGACTTGCCACCCACAGATACACCTCCAAGCCCCTCCAGAATACCCTCCTTAAATCCCACTCTGAATGTGGGTTTAGCCTTGAAGAAAATGCTGTCATGCACTGGAGGGTCACAGCCAGGCAGGAACTACTGCTCACTTTCCTTTCTCAAACAGATTAAGCACGGTCAGTACATCTCTGCCTGCCAGGCTCTTTCCTGCTCGCTCTGCGCTTCCCCCTCCCGCCTTCCCTCTCACCAGATTTCTCCCTCCATGACTCCCGATACCCACTGGGATCACCATTTGAACTTCACGGCTAGTGGGATCTGGTCCTGGCCAAAGCAACTGCCCCAGGAAAGCTTCTTCTATAGATCTGATGGCTTGCCAAGGCAGCAGCTCTCTTCTGGCTGGTTATTAAATGTTCCCCTTGGGTTGCTCTCGTTTGTTTGTTTTCCCAGTGCCAGATTGCAGAGAGGAGGGCAAACCGAGGCAGTGACAAAACGCTCCCAGGTTAACGCTATGGAGCGAGATTTACTGTTTCCCCCTTGCCTTAAAAAACGATTTCTCAAGAGAACTGCTACAGCCCAGCACGCAGCAGCAGCCTCCAAAGGCACCTGCACCCCGCAGCCACCCTATGCTGCCTTTGTTCCACTGGTGGTGAATGAAACAGAGCTTCCTACACAGCCGAGCCGTGCAGCACTTGTGATGGAGCCACGCTCCTTCCCTCTTTCAGAGGGGCTTTCCAGGAAGAGAAGCGCTGCAGCTCTCCAAAGCACAAACCACCTGGGCCCCGCCGAGCAGGCCTGCCAGAACTTGCGCGCGTCTCACCGGGACCTGCCCGCTGCACCTCTCGGGAGCGCTTTGTTTGCGTGGGACAGGCTCTAACAGCTCCGATGCACCACGCAGAACTCCCTGTGCAAACAGGGCGGCGGGAGAGGGACGGCTCCGGCACAGCCAGGGCAGGAGGGTGGCACTGCTCTCGCAAGGGAGAGCTGGCAGCGGGCCAGCGGAATTCTCCCTGCAGCTGGAATCGCGCGAGAGCCGAGGGAAGCGAAGCATCCCCACGCACACCCCACACGTGAGGCACCCCGTGGAAATTATGGCCTCTGTCCCTTGGCATGGGCTGGGATGGATGCCCCTGAGAAGGGGCACGGTGAAACCTCAGCGTGGGGGGAAGCAATGGCCGAGACCTCGGACAGGCACTGTTTGCGGTTTGCAACAGGCTGGCAGCAGCCACACGCCCGGCCCTGGTTTTTAGGTGGCTGGTGAGGTGGATCCCCCCCACTTTGGCCTTCATCACCCTGCCCAGCTCCCCTCCAGCTCTCAGCAGAGCAGCACAGCCAGGGGAGGGAAGTTAGAAGCCCGGTTCAAGGTTAGAACAAGAGAGCAAGGCTGTCCCCTGAGTGGGAAACGGCGATTTTCAAAGCGAGAGCTGGTGGGCGGGTCAGATAGAGAGGAGTCCTGACCCTTCCGCAATCTGTTGAACAAATATTTGCTCCAAACAATTAATTTAGAGACAGACACAAAAAAATTGAAGAGTCTGAATCGTGATGGTTGGGGGTGGGGAACAGAGGGAGGAGGTATTTCATTCCCTGCAAGCAGGGACCAGTGATTTTCCACCAGTGATTTAATCTAAATCCCCCAGAGAGTTCATTTACAAAAAATCAGATTGCATTATCGCCTAGGTCTCCAGGATACAGCCCAATCCGTCACTAACAGCAACAGCCACACTAGCTTGGAAACCTCAATTTGATCACTCAATTCCAAGACTAATCTGTGGCTTTAAAAGCCAAGGCCAGAGGGAGGGGGAAGGACCTCTGAATTTGGCCAGGGTTATCTGCAGGATGAGAGAGCTAATGGGCCAGATAGAGCCAGATGAAATGGCCAGCAGATCCCGGGTTATTAATCGAAACCAAGCTCCTCTCCTTGCCTGAGCAGCCCCACCCAGGCAAGTGCCCCAGGGCGGCCACATTCTTGGAATTCCTGCACCCTTCGTGAACTGGCTCCCTCTCCCTGGGTGCACCGGCTCCCCCTCTTCTCTGGGGTCCCCAGCGTTGCTGGCCAGGCACAGGGAATTGGGAAGAGCCTTTCCTCTGTCAGGAGGGTGCAGAGCGCAATGCTGAGCTCTAAGGCTCCTGTCCCCTTCCCAAAATATGGGGTTCTGCTGATGGACCGTGAGCTGAAGGGGGCCAAGAGGCCTCAGCTCCCAGCAAGGAGGCGATTCCCCACTGTTTAGATGCTGATGCCTGACAGCGTGAACTCTTTCCCAGTGGGAACCGGTAAAGGTTACACCAGCAGGGAACCACTGGGCTGCAGAAGCCAAATGAAAACTCAGACATCTGTAGGTCATATACCTCCCGCCAGCAGTCCCAGGCTGCACTGCACACGGCCGGACCCGGCATTTCAAGAATGCTTCCTGAAGAAATGCTTATTCATGTTAATACCTCACCACTGAGAGCTCCCGGGGTTTGCTGCTGGGGCAGCTGGGAGCACTGCTCCCTGCCAAAGGGAGAAGCAGCTGCAGGTTTAGCAGCTCCCCAACACAGAGGTTGCCCCCATCTCAGCTCTGGGCTCCCACCACACCAGCTCAGACGGTCCCAGAAGCCCACCCACCCGCTGGAATCTGCTGTGGGATTCACTTCACCACGAGCAAGGCAGAGTGCTGTCTCCAGAATGAAGAAGTAGCTGTTACCTCGGGAAACCACCAGCCAGCCCACCACAGCACTGCCTTGGAGAGGAGGAAGCTCCACTCCCTGCTGTTAATGACACCAGGAATATCCCCCAGAGCAAGAGCTCTGCTTGAAGAACAAGCTTGGATGACATTAGGTTTCCAAAGGAAAACAGGTCTTTTACGTAACATCCAGGGAGATGGAGAAGAAACAGGGAGAAGGGCACGTCTGAGCACAAAACTGCTTGTGTCATTGTGGTGGACTGACCCTCTTGGGACAGTGTGTTAAGAACAGAGAGGGAAAGGCCACACACGCCTCTTTATCTCCCTGCAAGGGCCGGGACAAGCACCAGCACAAACACTGCTCCGGTTTGACCGGCCCCACTGCCAGCCTGGAGCGAGGGAGGCCACAGGCAGGCACCCCCCCCTCCCACCGCTGCAGAGAGGAGCTCTTACCCATCCGCCATTCTCCTGGATCCAGGGATCTAGGTGGTCGGTCAAGTACGTGGTCATCCACGACACAATGCGCTTCACCAGTACCCGCATCTCCTTGTCAACGCTCTCCACGCACAGGGCCCCCCCGAAGGAGAAGAAAGCCACGATGCGGCCCCAGTTCACCCCGTCACGGAACAGTTCGTTCACCACCTGCTCGAAGCTCTGGTAGGCCGTGCCGGGGGTGATGTGGAGCTGGGAGGTGAGGTCGCTGAACGCCCGCCGGTACCTCAGCTCGAACTCGTCCCCCGCCTCCCTCAGCGCCTGCCTCACGTCGGCCGCCCGCCGGATCTCGTGCACCTCCAGGCTGCTCCGGTGCACGGTGGCCCCGTTCACTACGTGGCCGGCGGCGGGCGCGTGCCAGGAGGGGCTCCCGTTGAGGACGCCGTCCATCTCGTCCTCCCCCGCCGCCGAAGAGTCAGTCCTGTTCTCATCATCTTCCTCCTCCAGCTGGCTCCAGCTGTACCCCTTCTGCGAGAGCTTGTAGGAAACAAAGTCAATCACCAACTCCCGGTTACTGCTGGACATTTTCACACCTGGGGCGCCCTCAATGAGTCCATGGTCCGGGGCACAAGCAGATCGGCGCTTAGCAGGTCCCGGCTCCGCTCCTCTTCCTCGCGATCGATGGAGACATCTGACCTTCGCACAGAGGAGGAGAGAGGCACCGAAACGGTTAATGCCACAGCTCTCAGATGCGCCCGCGCCATTACCACCGACAGCTTATCCTTAGACCGAGCTCACCCCCGCAGCTCTACGCCGAGGCTGAAGGGGGGGGGGGGGGGGCCACCGCATCGAAGAACCCACCGCAACGCCCCCCTCCCGGGACACCAACCCCAGGCCCCGGGGGCCCCCCCGGCTCGCCCCGAGCAGCCCCCAGGTCTCACCGGGTGCGGGCAGCGCCTTGGCAGGCCGGCAGCGGGCCGGGCCGGGGCGGAGGCGGCTCTCGTTGTGCTGGAGCTGCGGGCCGGCCCGGCCGCGCTCCGCCAGTCCCGGAGCGCCGCGGCGGCGGCACCGCCCCTGCCCGCCCCCGCCCCGCCCCGCCCGTTAAAGGACCCGGTGCCCCCGCCCCCTCCGCCGGCCCGATGTTGCCCAACAGGGGCGGCAGCGCTGCCCAAGGGTCACGGCAGCGCCGGCGGGGCCCGTTTTGATGGTATAACCACGGCCCCGGCGGGTGGAGGAGATGAACCGCTGAAAACCGGCGGGGGAGCGCTCGCCAGCGGGGCTCGCAAGGCACGGCCCGTCCAGGGGCTGCAGCCGCCCGACCCTGCTCCCGGGGACACCGCAGGGGGGAGCCGGTGCCCCCAGCCCACCGGACGGCTCCCACCGCTACCGGACCCCCTTCAAGCCCCCGGCCCACCAACCCCCCCGGTGCCCGGGCCGGTCCCGGCCCGCCCCCCCCGGCCGCCGTACCCGGGGGGCGGGGCCCGCGCACGAGGCCCGACACGGCGCACGGTTCGTCAGCAAATCAGCACCAGCGAGAGCCCCCGCAGGGGCGGG